GAGGGGCTCCCCGGGGCGGCGGGGGGTTCAAGGGGAGGGTGTGCGTGGGCACGGAGCGGCAGAGCTGATGCTCCAGCCCGGGACACCGGGCAGGGTCATACGGGCACGATTCTCTCCGTCGCGTGTCCTCCCCTCACGTCTTAGTTTTCTTGGGTGAACGGCGGAGATGGGTTTTTAGCAGGTTAGATCAATGCAGGATCTCCTGCGAAGTGTTGTGTTTTGGTTTGTTTTATATTCTGAGTAAGCTGCTTCTCAGACAGATCTCCAGACTCCCCTAACCAGAGCTGTTAGTTCATGTATCACAGCGCGTGCAGCAGGAGAGACATAACCACTAACACATTCAGACACTGCTGGGAGGGGGTGTAACACCCAGGACAGACCTGCGCTGACCCACACCTGTGGAGGGTCTTGGTCCCTCTCTACCCATCCTCCCATCACATCCCAGACACTTCTTCCTACACTTCCTGGCACGTGCTGGCTTGGCACTCCTTACTGAGTGATCAGCATTTCGTTTCTGTTGGAAATCTACCTTAAAACAGCTGGATGTGAAGTTTATTAATTGTAGCATTTAGCCTGACTCATGTCTAAGCTCCTGCTGACGGGGAGGACTCTACCTCTTTCGGTCAGCCATAGCGTGTACATCCACATACTCCATAAAGGAGCGGGGCTGCAGTGAGTGTTTGGCTTTCCAGGTACAGGGGCACATGCACATTGTTGGGTGAAGTGAAATGTGTTTGTGCTTCCCTTTGAGATAACCCACACAAAGCAGTTACTGGCTACTGCTCTGTTAGAGCAACCAGAATGATGCTTTTTTTTTTTTTTTTTTTTTTGTGAGAATGACCTGTTTGGATGTGAGCTGCTTTCTGGGCATACGAAATCTGGATGTGCTGCCTTTTGACGATGTCCAGCTTAGCATCTGAGGCTGCAGTTTCACTTTGTAACTTTTTTTCCTCGGGGGGTTTGACACAGATGTGTCCTGTGTATTCACAGAATTACAGACTGGTTTGGGCTGGAAGGGACCTTAAAGCCCCCCCAGTGCCACCCCCTGCCCTGGGCAGGGACACCTCCCACCACACCAGGTTGCTCCAAGCCCCCTCCAACCTGCCCTTGAACCCCTCCAGGGATGGGGCAGCCACAGCTTCTCTGGCCAACCTGGGCCAGGCTCTCACCACCCTCACACCAAACAAGTTCTTCCCCACAGCTCAGCTCCATCTCCCCTCTTGCAGGGTCAAACCCTTCCCCCTCCTCCTAGGGCTCCCCTCCCTCATCCAGAGTCCCTCCCCAGCTCTCCTGGAGCCCCTTGAGGGACTGGAAAGGACTCTAAGTTATTCTCACCTCTTTGTTTAGAAATCACAGGAAGAAATCACAAGAAGGAATCTAAAGTCTCAGAACTCGGTGAGTGGTGGCAATTAGTAATGCCATACATGGGTGCTTTCAAATGAAAATTGTAGTCAATAAGCTAGAGAGGAACTTGAATATTTTAGGAGGCTTGATGGGAATGTCTGATATGGCTCAGTTTGGGAGAAAAATGATTTCAAATGTGAACTGCTACTGGATGGGAGGGGCCCTTAGACCCTGGTTCAGCCATCTGCCTCTAAGCTTTGCTGAGTAGGAGAGACGTTGGCACATGAGCCAGATCTTGGCTTTCCAAACACTTCATTGAGAAAACCTTGCAAAGACGTAATGGCTTTTGGGTGGCTGTCTGCAGAGAGAGGACTGGAGCCCTTTCCGCTGTGTACAGCGGGTTTGGCAAAGGTGAGGTGTTGGTGTTTTGACAGTGGTGAGGAAAATACCAAGATTGATCCCATCAGGACACAGGTAAGGCAAGAAGTGTAGGGAGTAGTCCACGAAAAATGGTCCAAGGGCCCAGGAAAGATGAAGATCACCTATCAATACACAAAACAAAGTCTTGCCAGAAGGAACACAGCCTTACAATGGATAAATAATCATAGAATCATAGAATAATGGCAGCTGTGGACAGATCTCAGAAGACCACATTCCCAGTACTGAGGTTGGTTGCCTCTCTGGTGTCAGTGCCTTGGCTATGCTTGAACAGGCTCTGAACAGTCAACGCTGGGTCTGCGGAGGGGGAAATTACAGCCTACTTTTAGGATGGCGAAAATAAGCTGTTCATGAAGTGTGGTGGGGCTGTTGTTCAGGTTGTGTTGGGCTTGCCCGGCTCATTAGATGCAGGAATCCAGGAGTGGCTGTGTCCCCTGCATTAGACAGCATGCACCTCCTTTGGGCTTGTTTTGCTCTGACCTTTGCTTCAATCTCGCCCCACGCTGCAGCCTCCTGTAAGGTACCCCCTCCTCATCTTAGCCATGCTTTTTCTTTCAGAGTGTGCAACTCCTTGGGTGGGTTGGAGTTTCTCTAGACCTCACAAGAAGCTCTCAGCCTCCTGTTGCCTTCTAAAGGGCTGTGTTCCACAAAATGAAAAGTAGTTTGGGATGTGCTGGGGGCCAAAGAGATTCTCACAGGGTCGAAGGGGGCAGTAATTGCCCTCTTCCTAGAGACAGGTCAGGGGCAGAACTCAGAAGAAACCCACCTCAGGTAGGACGTTGCTGGGTAGGCAGAAGCAACAAGCTCGGTTAAAGCCTTCTCCTGGGGAGACCTCCAGGGAGCAGGCTGCAACGTGTCTCATTGATGGGCCAGTTTGGCTTGTGCTCTGTGGGCAGCCAGATCTGCTGGAGCGTTTCTTTATAACTCTTCCTGAAATACCTGTGGTAGGTACAGAGGCGCCAGGTTTCCCATGATTTCACACCGTGCGCTGTCTTGATTCACAGCTCTTCTGAGCTCAGCCTCTGGATGTACTGCTCATTCTGCTTCCATCAACGTCAGTGGCACAACTGCTGCTCACTTCATGATGGAAGAATTTTTTGGGGGGGCCCTTAGAGAGTAAAAACAGCTTGGGACTTGCAGGTCTATTGAAGCTTGGGCTTCAGTAGTTTTGAAAATAGCATAACATATCAAACGATATCTAAATGTAAATATGACTACCTGTATTTTTCTGGAGATATCAAATAAGATTTAGTTTTCCTCCAGTTATCCCAGTTGTCTACATTCTTATGTTTTCTTTGGTAACTGGTTTTTATTGTAGCCTTTCTCTGATAAATCTATTGGACCAAATCTACTACAAATAGAGACTTTGCTCTTCAGTCCTTAGCTCTCCTAGAAAGATGTTTCCCTTCCTGTTGAGGCAATAAATTAAATGCCCATATGACTTACAGGCTGCGTAATCATTAATCCACGTACAGTGTATCAGGAGGGTTTGTTACACCATCTTTCTTT